CGACTTAGATGTGAAGCCGCTCCCAGCTGAACGACTTCTTGACTTGGCATATACTGACAACATTGTCCTCATATGTGACAACGTCCAAACGTGCCAAGCAGCACTGGAGAGGTTAGAACTGGTTGTCAATTATTTCGGTCTGTGCTTTGCACCCTCGAAGTGCGAAGCTTTCATCCAATATTTTTAAGGACCGCCTCCTGCGCCGACTTTTGGTGGTGATCAGTTGGAAGTCGTTCAGAAATCCAACTACCTAGGCATTTGTATCAGTGCCGTTGAAAGTGAAGACGAGGTCACAAACCATATAGCAAAAGGACGAGTTGCTTTTGCTAACCTTCGCCAGCTATGGTGTCGGCGCGACATCGCTCTCTCTCTCTCTCTCTCTCTCTCTGAAGGGTAGGGTTTACATTGCATCCCTACGTTCGACCATGCTGTGCGGTTGTAAAACCTGACCCATTAGATCGGGCGACATGAAGAGGCTGGTTCCGTTCGACCACCGATACCTTCGTAGTTTGGCTCATATCTGGTGGGAACACCATGTGAGCATTGAGCGTGTTCGACGACTTGTTTATGGCACAGGAAAAGTGAACCGCTCAGCGCCGCTGTATAACACACCAGGATCCAGAGGCTGAACCACGTGTTGCGCATGCCAGCCTACCGAACGCCGTGACGTGCGTTATTTGAACGCCGGCGGTGCGGATAGAAGAAGAGGTTAGGTGGCTAAGCGATGACTTGGTTAAGAGGGTTGAAGGCCCTTACTTCGAAGTTGACCTCGGTTGGGGCCTCTCGGTTTCCTGGTTGGGGTCCGATGGACGATGAATACGTTTGGTCGGATACACTTGTTGACAGGGCTGGGAGGCGACCTCAACGGCGTTTATGTTGTGAGTTTCTTTGTCTCTCTCCGTTCCGCTTAACCTCCCATTCCAACCACGATCTCATTTACTAGGCATAATGTAACTATTTTTGCGGCACAGTAGCTGGCTGTTAACTCTCCGGAATGATGTCAAACCGTTATCGGTGACTCAACTGGCGTGCTTCTGCTGCATGTTCTTTTCTTTTGTATTGCGGCACATTTGCTGCGGTGTTTTCCACCCCTAGATAACGTGTGATGATGATGGTATCCCCTAAACAGCTCCCTACCTCGCCTTGGTCAACCGGTTAGTAACGCTCGCTGACAGAACCATGGATCTAGCAACTACTAATTCCACGTCGTTCTCCTGTGCGCCTGACTGCTTGTTCACATTTATCACATTCTAATCCTATTTTCCTCAATAATTCTTTTAAATCTACCTCCGATAACAATCTCGCTTATGTCTAGTGGCCCTTTGTTCTCGATCTCCATTGCGGCTTATGCACCTCGAACAATAGACCAGGCTAGCGCGCACCCTGGAGTTCCTCGCTACTTGTTGTTGTCTTTCTGAGACTCGGTTACAGCACTCCAGCACCGTAGTTAAGTTATCATCCCCTGCTGATTTCAGGACCAAATATTCCCAGCATTTGTCTGGTGACACAGTGGCTCCTGCAGCTGGCCTGGCTAGTGTTGACATTGCATTGAGTGACAAAGCTGAGACATCGCTGCTCGATTGGTTCCCGACTAACAGCCGATTATGTGTGGTTCGACTTCTACGCTCGTGCTGCATCAATTGGCATCGTACAGATACGCAATTTGTTCCTGATTTCATCATGCGCCCCAACCGATTGCACTTGTGCATCGGTTAAGGACCACTACTATCGCGGGCTCCACCAGCTTTTGAGAAAGCTGAAAAAGCCAGTGTCGTCTTCTTTGCCGGGCTCTTCAATGCACGGGTCGATCGCATGTTGCCATATGAGCGTAATCCTGGTGGCCGCCATGCTATTGATTAGAGTCGTTCTGATAACCGAGATAAGGTCCTCACCTTATGTGAGAACAACCGGCTCTTTCTCTCGAGTACGAATTTAAGACATTCGTTCCCCTTCTCCAACACAAGTGTCGTCACAAGTTAATTACATTGCAATCAGCTTCAGATAGTTGGACAGTATACGGGATTGCAGATGAAATTCGTCCATTTACCTCATCTCAGATCACACTCTGGTCTGTGCGGACATCTGTATGTGTTTTGCTAGTTCCTCGAAACCAAAGCACCGTACGCTGGATACCAACCGGCTATCAGTCCATCTTATCATATGCGTTCGTTAGTGCTCCACCTACAGATGTCGAACATCACAGAAATTTCTTGCAAGCGGCATTGCTTTCTTCCGGCCCATCATACTGTGGAATCGCTGGGCGTCCTCTCAGAGGCTGGATCTCTCCTCACTCTTTAGAAATATTTGACGGTCGCCGAGTTATCCCAGCTGATTCCAGCAGCGGTGAATTCGGCCGAAACAGTCAACAAATCAAGCAGGACTTGCGTAACCATGGCGAAACTTGATGGTCTCAGCGCGCTTCGGGGATGGACGCAGCAGTTCTGTCCGGAAATTTTCGCAAGCTTTTTCAGATCATTCGAACCACTAGTCACAGAAGACCTGGCGTCAGTGAAGCTATTTGCTAGGTTGATGGATCACCTATCACTAATTTGCATAGGTGCATGGACCGTTGGGCGGAGCACTTCCACTCCTAATTCAGTTGGTTTTCTTCTGGTTGTTTAACAAGTATGCTAGTTGCGTACCTTAGAACGTTTCATTGGAACCACTCACCGAAGCGGAGATCTGTCTTGAGCTTCGTCACTTGAAGCAAATCAGAGCTACTGGCTCAGATCGACTTCCTCCGGAGTTGTTTAAGTACGGTGGTGAGGTAATTGTCGGCCAGTTAATAACTTGATTCTCGAACATATGGCGTGAAGGAAATGTCTCATCCTCTTGGGGCGAGTCGATTATCGTACATATCTTCAAACGGGGTGCTCGTACTTTATGCGCCAACCACAGAGGTATCAGTCTAATATCCGTCGCCTCCAGTTTTCTAACATCCATTCCACTCCGCAGGATAACCGATTTGAGAACTACACCTGTGAGGATCAGGCTAGTTTCCGCCCCGGTTGATGGTGCTTGGACCACATGTTTACGTTCTGCCAATTCCTCGAGCAGCACCACATTTATCACCAGCCTCCCATTGTCGTTTCTCTAAATGTCCGAGCTATGTTCGATTCGGTCCATCGACCTGCTTAATGGCGTTTTCTGCAAAGGAATCGGGTACCCGACAAGTATACAGCCATCCTTCGAGGTTTATACAACTATGTCTCTGGCAGAGTGAAAGCTTACGGTATAGTCTCTTCACTTTTCGCCGTCACTACCGACGTGCTACACGAATGCCCTATAACCCCTTTTTCAATTTTGCTATTCAGGATGTCCTATTAAACGCTCTGGGAGGTCTCCAGCGTTCTGGCGTATAGCTTCTTCCAGGCAACCTTGCGACTGGTTTGGACTCTGCTGATAATATTGCATTGCTCGGTGACGACTCATAGATCATGCAAGTCGTTCTAAACCGCTTGGTGATTGAAGCTACCAAGTATGACATGACCTTCGCTTCGTCAAAATGCAAGCTGTCACTCCAGAATTGGTATCACCTGCGCCCGTGCTGCTTTTTGAAAGCGCGCAGCTTGAACAATTAGGTGGCTTCATCCATGGGAGCTGCGTTTCTTCTGATACCACCACTGAAAGATAGATTTCTCTATGAATTGCCAATGCTCGATCAGCTTTCGCTGATCTCTGGCATCGTCGTGACGCTTCACTCTCGGTAAATGGCAGGGTTTATAATGCTTGTGTTCGCACGACCATGTCGTGCGGAAGCAAGTCCCGGCCGATCCGTGTAGATGATATGCGTCTTATTTCGGTCTTTGACTACGGTTGTCTGTGGAGGATAGCATGTGTGTGGTGGGAACACCACGTTTGCAACGTCGATATTAGACCTCACGTCCTGAGTAATACGGGCCTATCTCTCGACAAGCTGCTATCGCTGCGCCAGCTGAGAGGTGGATAGGTCACGTCCTGCGCATGCCGTGCGAACGTTTACCACGGCGTGTTCTATTCGCTTTCGCAGGGACGCACCGGAAGAAATCGCTCGGTGGTCAACCTACCACATGACGACAAAGTTTCAGAGCGTTGACTTCCATTTTAGCTGTTGTCGGCCCCGTACTTCTTCCAGGCTGGTAGTCGGATGTGACGAACGTCGCTGAGTGGAGACTCTTGAAGTCATGGCGCGTAATCGCGGACAGTGGAAGGTTTGAATGAGTCTACGCATTGCTTCTACTGGTCAACGCTTTGATCACTAAACTGGCAAAAAAGACGAAAATGTGTGAAAAACAAAATAATTGTGTATTTTTTATTTTTTGTTCTCTGCACATATTATGCACATGGTTTTAGCTGACACTACATCCATTGTAAAGATAGTTGCAAACCTATATATATATATATATATATATATATATATATATATATATATATATATATATATATATATATATATATATATATATATATATATATTCCTAACTTGGATTAAAAGATTCCACTTTATTTGATTTACTCAGTTCTGTTCTTCTGCTGCATATTCTCTGTCAATTTGGCGTATTTATTTTCTTTCAAATTATGTGCTAGTTGTTTAATATCCCCGGTTTTTCTGCGCTTGATATGAATGTTGACAAGGTGCCTACCTGTCTTGCCCTCCACTCTGTCCATACTGCCCCCAGGAGACAGTAGGTCGTCGCTGGGGTGGGGGACGGGGTGCACGGTCCCCGTGGCCGTGCTGGGATCAAAAAGTGGTTCCATCCAGTGTGGAGCGGACTACGACCCAGCCACCGCCTTGCGTACATCTGATGCGCATGATTCCCAAATTAGGTAGACTGGAATGCTGCTGCTGCTTTATTTCCAGTTAAGTCAATAGACTCATCATGCATACTAATTTCTCCTAGTTTTTTGTCTATAATCTATCTGTTTTTTTGACCTTTTCTAGTATGTCGCCCAATTTTTCCTATACTCTAGCACCAATTTCAAACATCTCTATCTACTTCTCCGGTTTCGTCCACATTTCAGCAAGTTTCGCTTAATTCCCTCTATTGCCCGTCATGTCAGTAAGCCAAAAGGGACTGCAAGACCTCCTAAAGTGAGCATCACCTGTCTACATCTTCTGAAACTTTCCCCGCTTAATATGATGTGTCTACAAACGCATTCACGATTTCCACGGCATTTGTCTCTTCATCCGCCTCGGCGTTTTTTCTCACATGACATTTTTTCCTCTATTATTCTTTGGGTACGCTAGTCTACTCCTTCCAGACCGAATAAGTGGACACACGCTGGAAAGTATATCAAGTCTGGCACAGAAACAATTCTCAAAGGCCGAGTATTTCAAGATTTGTCGTATACTGGTCAGTTTCTTCACCCATACAACTGGGTTTCTTCTCTTTAGGTGTTTCTTCTCAGCCATGACTTCCTCTATGACGCATTGTCCCGTTTTGTTGCACTGTATCTAATTTGGGACATGTGCAGATCAGAGGCCTGCGGCTTCAATCCGTTCACAGACTTTTTTGTACAGTACCTGGTGAGTCCTACCTTGTAACTCCTTTGATATATATTAATTTAGAAAACGGATGCTAAGGGAAAGATGCCTTTTTCTGCGTTATACGTTCTTCACTCCATTTTTTCGCAACCGCAGCAGTTGCACGAGGCAAGTTGTGTGTGTACACTCGGTCGATTGGCAAACACTAGTTTTCCAAGTACACCCTTCTACAGATCCTGAGTTTACCCGTAAACATCAATGACCAAAATGTATGTTGAAATAGCGTTGGATTATCTTTATGTTCTATTAGCTGGATTGGGATTTCATGCAATCTGAACCTCAGTCAACTGATGCCCGATTGCCTCCAATCGCCGCGTGTGGTGTTTCCTGCGTCGTTTCGGATAAAGACGTACCCTCGTGAGTTAGTTAAGCTCTACATTACCTTGTCCGCATTTTTCTACCTACTGCGGCATGCTCCGTTCACAATTGTTGTTCCTTTTTTCCTCGCTTTGTAACACAGATCCAATGGTTCTTGGCCGGATGTATCCTCACAAAACCATCAACAATGTCTGGAATTGCTACTGTCACAGGAGGAGCCAGTCGTATTGGAGGCAAATCTGAGGCCGGAATTTATGCGCGTCGCCCCTCCTTTACTTCCTTGTCCTCAAGGAACGGGAGCTCAACATGTTACGATCAATCGAAGTTCACAGGAGTCAGACACGGATAGGACAATTTGCGCTGAGACATCTTTTTCCACGCCTATTTCCGACTGGCACGAAGAGCTCATTTGGCTTAATCCTCTTACGGTGCGCCATGATTTCCACTGGGATGCCAGTGCAGAACAGGCAACTCCTACAGCGGAGGTACTGGACTTGCATTTCATCTTTTGTCTTATGTTGGGACAGAATTTTCTGTTTTTCCGTTGTTTTACCTGTTTCAGCATATCCATCTGTATAAATTAGGGCATTATTATCTTCATAGTTTTTTTTAACTCTTCATTGGATTCTCACTACTTGATCTTGTTACTCACTCTCGCATCCCTCTGTTCCCGCTTCTTCCCTCGCTCCTTTAACCGCGAACAACTCTTTCAACATCTGGAGATAAAATCCAAAGGATTGCTTCTACATTAGTATCCTAAAGCTGAGACCCTTTTGAAAGATCACTGCGGTTGGAGGCATCAAATTTACTTCAATAGTCCCAGTGTCTCTACGGAGCACCTGTCGCTTAGACACAGCTTTTATTTGACTCCACCACTGTAGATGTGAAAATCTGTAGAACGAGCTCAATCAGCTACCAGCGCTCACTTACCTGGAGATGTTAACCATGCAAACTTGAACGGCGCTTCACGTGTTTTGGGCTGGCTGCACGTTACTTACTGTTACAACGCGGTGGTAACTTTTCTCGATTGCTTGTAGTCCAACCTCCAGGGACAAATATGCTGAATACTACTTACAGGGAACGAAAAGATATGAATCAGTGTTGCTCCGTCGAAATTCTATCGGGCACGTAGGCTGGATAACCTCATTAATTCCCGCACTTTTACAACATATCATGTTTATACGGTGTCGTATTCGAGTAAGACACGTTCTAAAAATGTGAGACCTGCAAAGTTTGTGTCTAGGGATTTCTTGAATTCCGACACCGATTATACCTCGACTATTGTCTTTGGCCAACAGTTCCAGCATTCCATCCGTCGACGCTCAAAATCTAGGGAGTGAGCTATCCGCTTCAGATCCGGTGCCCGCTTGTTGCGCGTATGTGTAGCAGTGGCCTTAGCACGAGGAAGACGTTTATCCGGTGGGTCATTATGAGATCAACTTGACGATGCGACAGGGCGTGCATCTCCAGTCTCTTGCATCGATCTTTGTGTGACATATTCCATGATCTGAGGATGAATCTGGTAGCTACATGTTGAACACGTTCTGATTTGCGAACCTCGTCGCGGGTGATCGGACAATTGGCGGATCAGCCGTACTCAAAAGTACGCGCAGTTCACGTCGGTTATGATCTGTTCGTATTGTCCATCAAAAGTGTCAATTCGGCATCCACGAGGAGAGTACGCGGCAATACGAATATCTGATCAGGGAAAATCAGGTTAAGGAGTAGGTCAAATCCATTTCTGGTTACCGTCGTTCTGTTTCCTGTAAGTATATCAACTTCTTACAGCACTTCACGACTAGCTATTCAAGCTGTGTGGTTTTCTGCACAGTCGAGGGGGCCCATGTGGCTTACGTTGGCGTAATTTTTATAATGTTTTTACTCGACTTCTGGCGTACTGAATTTACTACCTAGATAACCGGTGCATCTTGCCTTGCTTACTGTGACGATCCATCACCCAATCCCGACAGTTTTTTCGGAAAAACGTTTTGTGGTACTACTGATTTTCAATAATCACCGGTCTTTCAACTGGTGCACAGCACTTGACACAGAGTACCCGTACGGTAAGTAAGCGCCTATAAAACTGCAAATCTCGCAGTCCTACTGACTCTTCTGGTACACATCTGCTTTTTGACCTGTCGTCATTGTTCGCTTTTTTATGTATTCTATGCTTGAACTCTCACCGAATAGGATATATATTTCATATGTTTATAATGGATGAAAATCACTCACCTTGTCGGCTATCCGTCGCATACATTTACACTTCAAGATGCACAAAATGTCAGTCGGTTCCAAACTTGTGGCACAAGAAAGGCACTCAGATGTTGCACGAGGAAGTTAACGTCTCATTGAAAATTCTAGTGTCAAACTGAGCACTCCAACAACTAACATGCGGAGATAGGATAACTATACACGGTGATGATTAGTTAATCGGGAACTCCTTCTTAACATGTGGATGTCACTTGATGATAGACGATCTGTAGTGCTTAAGCCTTCTAGCAGTTAAAGTAAGACACTTTGTTGAGGTTAAGTTTGCAGCTGTGGATTCTTCTGATTGACTTCATTTGTTTGAATTTTACTATTGTCAGCTACGGTATCTCATCACGAAGGCACTCTCTTCTGGGTTATCGCAATCCGAACAACATACCGTCCTTCAGGTTCTCTCTGAGAACCCGGATTTGGTTCATAATTTGGGCATTTCTCCAGACAACGTGAGTTCACGCTTTACACTTACGCTTTTGTATGCTGGGTTTGGGTCTGTGACTATGTTTTTGTTCTCAGTATTTCATCCTACGAAATGTTTAACCAATTATGCTTCGAATTATGCTCTTCAACCCCGCTCCGTTCATTCTGAGGTACTCTGCGATCCGTGACCGACGAGAAACAACTGTGACAGTGCCAAAAAGTTTGTTTATTTTTCTGTTCCCTTTAAAGATGTCTTCGAATTATTGAACAAAAGATTCCTAAATGCAATAGCTAAGTCATTCCCTGCTGCATGTTGTTTCGGAAACTGCCCCGTTTATTATCTAACATCTTAAGCACCGACTCTCGGTCATGTCTGCATCTTTCATCCTATATCAATTTACTTGCACCTGTGGTGTAAGATACATCGGACACACAAACAGACGCTTGGCTAAACGGATAGCAAAACACTGCCCAGCGGCATTATGGAAACGTATAGTTAGACATATCATCCACTCTATTTTGGAACATGTAATCCAAAGCGGGCATCAAATTGTGATCTCGGAAGCTTTTAAACTTTTCTACACCGCACCAAAACGTTACCCAAAAGGGATTAAAAAGCGCCTATTATTGACGGCCGAGGCCATTGCAATCCGACCAATGCTACCTGAACTATGCAAGCAGAAGACTCTAGAGCAGACGCTACATTTTCTCTGGCCTTGAATTTATCTTGAGCGTGTTTAAATCGGTCCCAGGCGATGATCTCGTGACCCAATATGTGTTAGTATCTTCATCGATTGGAGTTTGATCAACTGATAAAACAATACTAGCCTAGCTATCTTAGCGTATCGCAATGTGAACCATTTTTACTTATGTATTAGCCTGAAGGGAATTACCGAAAAGAAATTTCTTCGCTGAAAAGCTGATTTGAATTCTTACTTCCCTATGGGCATATTTCACAAATTATGCTTCCACTCACTGGTGCTTCGTTCCACTTGCCATGCAGTTATCAGCTTTGGTTAATCGAAGTCCCGTAATTGCAATCGAAGTGTTGAGCGTGTTGGTAAACTCTCCTCAGAAAGACGAGTAAGTTTGTCGGTCCTCTGTTTTCGCCCATAATTTCACTTTGCTTTCTCTTTGAAAACGAATGCGTTAATCATCATCAATACACGTTAGCCGCAATACAAAACGATAAGCGATTAAATATCATAGATTGCAAAAGCTAAGTAGCTAACATAATGCTTAGTGTCATGTTGTGCATTGTGTTCGAGATGGTTGTTGAAGGAGGAAGCTAAAGGGAAGGAGTGCAACAAAGACGCCCACAACACGAGCGCCATTCTGATCAGCTCTTATCCATGTCAGCTAGTCTATCCAAACAAAAGTGTTCATCGTCCTTCGGATCCAAGTCTGGCAGTCGGGAGACACCAACCAACGCCAACTCTGAAGTGGTTTTCATCACTCTTGATCAAGTAATCGCTTGGCCTGCCCTCCTCTTCCTCCATCCAGACGCCGGGCGCACAAACAACACACGACAGCATGTGGCCCGGCCATCAGAACCTAGTGCGTGAAATAACGGCGGCGAGCCGTTCATTCCTTTTTTCCTGCACCAAATACATGACGCCGAACACGCTCATTGCTCACGCAGTGTTCCCACCAGATATGAACTAAGCTGCGAAGGCAGCGATGGTCGAGCCTAGCTAGTCTCTTTATGTCCGTCGACCTTATGAGCCGGGTTTCACAACCGTGTAGGAGAATTGAACGGACGGCAACATTGTTAATTCTGCCCTTCATGGTGAGAGTGATGTCACACAGGTGGCAGATATTGGCAAAAGCGCGCCGAGCTTTGGCTATACCGTTCGTGGCTTCACCTTTAATTCCCTGGGCGCTAATATAACTGCCCAGCTACTTGAATTCATGGGCGCCATGTAGCTTATCACCACCAAGGGGCAGCGCAGGGATAGGTCCCTGTCAGTTTTTGCATTTCAAAGGTGCAAAGCATAGACCAAAACGACTAACAGCCAGAGCTGATTTATCCAGTGCAACTTGGAATGTTCGGTAGCTATCACAGATGAGGGCGATGTAGTCAGCATACTCCAAGTAGTGAAATCGGTTATCTGGGAGCAGCTCCACACATGCTCGGCGAACGCCGTTTCCATGACTTCGTCATTAGCGAAGTTAAAAGGGAAAAGCGACAACGAGCATCCTTGTGTCACACCGCTGGAGGTATTGCATGTTTGTGAAGGTTTGCCTTAAACCCTCACTCTGTCCGAAATATGCGCGTACATCGCTTTTATAACATTTACATGTTTCTTGGCCACGCCTTTCCTTAACAGATATTTCCAAAGGGCACATCGATCCACTGAATCCAAGGCACCTTTGATGTTGAGAAACGGCACAACGGTGGGTCGCTAATACATATGGCGGTGCTCCAATAATTGACGTAATGTGAAGCTGTGGTCATTGCAGTCTCGATTTCGACGAAACCTGGCTCTCTCCTCTCCCATCTTGCTTTCACGTATATCAATCACACTGTGACGGACGATAGAAGCAAGTGACTTAGAGGCAGTCGATAACAGAATGATTCCTCTATGACCGATGCATTCCGAACGTGAGCGTCCCTTGCAACTTAAGACTATTACGGAACGGCTGCAGTCTGTTGGGATAGTCTCCTGCTTCCACAGATTCACTACTAAGTTACCCAAAGCGTCCAAATGAGAAGGTCCACCGTATTTCAAGAGGGTTGAATGAAGTCCATCTACTCCTGCCGTCTTCTTCAACTTCAGCCGTCTGATCACGATTTCTGTGCGAGGCGGGACCGAGGAGACGGCCGTTGGAGAAGCTGGCAACTCTAACTGATTAAACTGCTTTGTACTGTTCCGCTCAACATTCCAAACGTTTTGGCAAGCTGTGGATTGGCTGTCTACTGTTGCGGCGTATGATCTCGATAACATCAGGTTCCCTACTTTCCGTATCAGACGGTATAACGTCCGATGGTTACCAAGGGCAGCGTCCACTTCTACCTCTGACGCACGACGAGACCACTAGGATTCAGTCTCTCTTCAGGTTAGCACGCAGTTTCACCCTGAGATTCTCATTGTATTCGCTTCCAGCCAGATGGAGTCGATGAGCATCCAAAAGTTCCAAAGACTGCGTAGAGACTCAATTTCCAGATTGGTAATTTGATTTACCCCATGAAGACACGCCTGATGATAATAACGTCTTGTGAACATGCGACCAGTGATCTTCAGCTGTGTTCAGTGTGCACTTACTCCGTTCGGATGACGTGGTACTTTGATACCCATTCAGAACACCTGGATTATGCAGTTAGCAATTATGTACGCGCTCACAGCGATGTTGCGTTCGTCCGCCAAAACGCACCCGCAGGTCGGCGCAAACAACTGCATGATCAGCGTCCACGCTCGTGTTTCAAATGGAGCTACAGTTTTAGACACATTTTCTCTAGCAGCAACTGATCGCGATGTGGTCGGTTTGCGTCTATAGCTGGTCCGAGGCTGGTACGCGTCTAGTCACTCTACGGCGGTTGCTGTCGTAAGTTAGTGCTCGCGAGATAGTGACGAGTATCTCCACATCGGTTTAGCAACTGCTCACCGTTATCACTACAGGAGCCTACACCATGTTGGCCGCCCAGATGAAACTCATCAGAAGACAGTTTTTTTACTTGGGCGTTCTAATCACCAGCCAGCACCACAGTATCTGTACTTTTTCTTCAACAAAGGATCGCATTCAATTGGTGATAGCTGTCATCTTTTACCGAGTCATCGCTGCAATTTGTAGACGCGTATGCTGTAATGACAAGTAATTGCCGTTTGTCCCCGCACAGCTTTGATGCCTTGAACGAGTCAGCCAATCTGACAGCGCACATCCGGCTGTGCATTAGGATCCAGCCGATCAGGGCACCTTCAGCTGAGGGGCAAATTCCACACCATCTTGACCGGTATTTGAAGCTGCATCATCTCCGGACAAGCGCAGTGAGAAAATGCCGTCAGTGTCGTGCGTTTGGGATCGCAGGGTAATCGCAGAACTCGAAGCTTGCAGACGAGTTTGTGATAACCAGCAGATATCTATTGATAGGGTCTCCAATGTTCCTACCTGTTGGCCAATCTGCACCAAAGTGCGCAGATTGAGGCGCGCCAGTCTTAGGGAGGATCGAGGGCTCCAAACAGAAGCATATGAACTGATCTTGTCCGTTTGGCTGGACATGGACTTGTCGACTGGACCGGAGCAACGCTTTGCGATTGCGTGTGAGTCGAAACTAGAGGACAAACAGTTACTGAATCTAGATGGGCGAGCGCCAAGAATTGGGAGGGGGGTTAATCAGGGGGTATAGAATGGAAGCTGGAGCGGGACGATAAGGATGACAAAACAGAGGAAGGGGAATAAGACGGGAAGGCTTGGACAGTAGCATCCGAACCCCTATCCACCCTGCTCTATACAGCAGCTAGGACGCCGTTGGTTATCCTCCGTGATGGCCAAAGGATTACCGATCTAAACACTCGTAGTTGCTCTCTAACCTTTTTGTTGTATGACTTTGACCATTCTCCATCTTCCATTCTGACGAACTGCGAATTCTGTAAGCGATTTTCAGACTATGCAGATGTACCATCTGGTGCTGGCTCGGTCATCGATCGCGATCTGTGTTCCTGTAAGGCATCAAGCACACTATTCATTCGGAGTGGACATAGGAACGTGAGAGATTCGGTAGCGCGTTGTGAATCTTTACACACTCACATCATTTGGGTGCATGAAAGCTAGTTGTGACTAAACTGCTTGTTTTTTGACGATAATACGGCAATTTCCTTTTGCCTCGTCCTGCTGACATTTTTGAAGGTCCCCTCGTTGGCAGTTTACCTTGTAGACGACCGTCTTAAACAGATTGCGTCCACTCTACCTACCAGTAGCAGGCCACAGGTTTTCATTTGCAGTTACAACTCATGCAGCAACCAAAGAAATACTGCCTTTTTGTTTGCATTTCGAACTAACTGACTACTTCTGTCCAATCGTAGCAGTACTGATTACCATCCACCGACTAAGAACCCATTCGCTTTCTGGCCATCTTCCGGCGATACTTGGTTCACGCGAAGTCGCGTGCCTGTCACTTTTTCCGGTCTGTTCACCGCTAAGTGGCAGCGTACATGAGCAGTGGAATTCCGCATCATTGACGTAGGTATTTAGGATGATAGACCCAATTTTATCCCCACATGCGATAAAGCCAGTGTTACTGTATGGACGGGGAACGTAGCCATTTTGCACGGCATACATTATATGATTGTCCGCCATTGATCACTGGTGCTTGCGGAATACCGGGCGAGCAGCGCTCAAGTCCGCTATTTGGTCAGCAGAAAGAAGTCTTAGGTTTCTTCGCTCGAGTGTTCATGGTGGATGTTTGTGAGAAGTGTAAAGTTCGTAGAAAGTAGAAGTCACGATTAAAATTCACACACAATAATGTGCCTCGACGGGGAATCGAACCCCGGTCCACGAATTTCCGGTCTGCTGCTCTACCACTGAGCTACCGAGGGCTGACGATTAGGTGCGCAAATTTTAATACATGACTTCTGCTTGGTGCGCGACGTATTGCCAATAAGCTCACAGTACCTGTCCTGGTGTTGCAGATTGGTTCACTCACCCGTCACTTCCCAATGAACCGAAGTACACGTCCTTCAGATGTCCAATGGACGATGGTAGATTAATGGTGGATGTTTGTGAGAAGTGTAAAGTTCGTAGAAAGTAGTCATGTATTAAAATTTGCGCACCTAATCGCCAGTCCTCGGTAGGTCAGTGGTAGAGCAGCGGACCGGAAATTCGTGGACCGGGGTTCGATTCCCCGTCGAGGCACATTATTGTGCGTGAATTTTAATCGTGACTTCTACTTTCTACGAACTCGAGTGTTCGAAAAAGCTCGACCGCTTACGTTGGCTAGATCGTGTCCTCTGTATGCCGGTGACCGCCATCCTCGGTGCATATTACGTGTTGTCGCTGCAACTAGCCGGGCGCAAACGCAAGGTGACTAATCGACGACGTGAGAGATTGAAAACGTGGCTTGGTCAGACCAGCGTGTGTTGTCCTCGTGAGTCGGAGCCTCTGAATGTTCCCCAACAGTGGTTTGAGACCATCTCGGGCATGGTAGAGTCGTGCAGTCCCTTCCCATACCAGGTATCTTTCTCTTCCAACCACGATCTCTGTCATGAAACACAATATCTTACTAAGCAGTGTTACCTGTTGTTTTTTGTATTCTCTAATGCTCAGTATCTCGCGTTCCCATATACCTTATTTTTTGTATTGCGGTTCAATAGTTGAAGTGTGTTTCTCACCTTCAGCTACTGTGTAATAACGATGATGTAGGCAGTGGCATTCTTCCATTTGGTCTTTTGCATCGCGCTGTTAATATTTATTTCACTCGGTTTAGTTGTGCTCACTCCCTTATCAACTCCCTCCTCTTTGTATTCTGTCCGCGTTCAACCTTTTTCTCTCTCACTATTATCTATTGTTATTCTGGTGACGCTAGTCCGTGGTAACTAGATCCACTGCACCCAGTGCCCGGATCATAGTTGTTTACTCGAATTGAACTGTATTTGCAACTCCACACGCATGTTACTGTAGCTCCAATTACGACACCAATTGGTTAGGCAGCCAAACAGGGTGATCACAAATGTGAATTTAAATGAATGACACTCATGTCGCCCTCTGACGAAACCATGAACTTTAATGTGTTGTGTTGTGTTTTCTTTCACTATTTCCGTACCTTCTTTTGAGTCCCATGGTTTCTGATGGCTGTATGTCTATTCGTAGACTGTTGCAAATAAATACATATACCTGTTACCGGGATTATTATATCTGTTTTCACTCCGTCTCTTTTTGTCAAGATATTACAACGCTTTAGTTTCCATGGAGGTCACGGTCGATTCCCTGGAGATCGTAAACAGACTTGCTTCCAGGGTTGAATTACCCAAAGACTTCATCCATGCATACATATCAAAGTGCATGGGCTATTGTGAATCACTGCAAGACAAGTCTTCACAGTCGCGTCACGTTCGTTTAGTCTGCGTCCTAATTCAATCCTTCATTCGGAATAAAATTCTAGATATCCGCAACGAGGTAAGCGCTGAGGTGAATTCGTCGTTTTGCTGTGATGTTGACCGTTTGAACTTCTTTTACATATTTTTTCTTTGGCCACCTCTACCAGCTGATTAAGCTAGTGTCACGGTGATACATCGATTCGTATGCACAATGTGTGCTTTTGTGTTTTCGGCATTATCTTGGCATCACTTCAGTCATTTTAGCTGTTCCTTTGAGTTAAGGAACTTATTCTAACTCCACTTTCAGTCAATAACGACAGCTACAGATCCCCACTTGTTTTCTTCACTACAACATCCAGTACGCACTTATGCTAGTTTAGGAACTCCCACATGCCCACTCATCACTTAGTGGGAAAGCTTTGTTCTGTTTTGCTAGGTGTTAGATGGCATAAATCTCGAAAAGGCAGCTATTCACTTTGGAGTGGAGGAGGGAAACTCGTTGGCAACTAAACTGGATACGGTTAGTCTGTATGGCCTTCGTTTACGCAACTCTCTGTACCTCACCCGTGGTAATACGTTACAAGACATGCAGTCGGCACCACTTGTATGGCACGGAGTCGTCTATGTGGCAGTGCTGCTGCTCGCGAAACGGGATAATAGACTCCGTGAATTAGCTAACTCACAAACTCCACCTCATCCTCACACCATAGCGGATTGTCTGTGTGGCCGTAAGAGGCTGATAAGGTGTGATCACTTTAATGCTGAACTTTGGCCCACCTACGTTGGATCCTACATGAGCTCTCAGACCACTCCACCTTCTTATCATTACGGCCATTTCTGTCGACTTTTGTCCGTAAGCCAGTAAACTACTGATGGGCAACTGTTGATTCCGAGGGTGATTCTAATGTCCATCGCAATCGTTAACGCGTCTATTCCTTTTATGCTAACGGACCGCTGTGTTGATGATCCAATTTATTTAGTACCTTTGCAACCAAAACGAGTGATAACGCAGGTCCACATATGGTTTGTGAAAAAAGAGATGACTTCGTCTAAGATCCCGGCGTTAACTGGTACAGAATGTAAGCAATTTTGCTACAGACTCATACGTGGTTACTAACAACTCAAATCTGTGCCGCATAACTTTAGCTGATAAACTGTCAGAGTAGATCTTTGGCTTGTATAAGTTAAATCAGAGTCGGCATCGTGCATTTCGCTTTCGTGACTCCTGTGCCCACTCTGAACTTCCGCTTCTGTGATCAGCTTCCTCCGGGTTGGAATCGACCCACAGATCTTACTCTACCAGTCTGACTCAACGCGTAACGCCTGTGCTAACGGCTAGTATATCGTTGACACGAAGTAGCTCTAGGGCCTCAGTAGGCCAGTGCTTAAAACATCAGCCATCCGTCCCGGGTTCTGCTCCCAGCTCTGGCTATCTCTCTACCTGAAGAGTCCAGACAACGACACGAAATCGGTCGTGGAGTGCATTTGTGGGAGAGTGCAAGTCTGCAAGTTCACCACAAATTGACTAGATTTTGTTTGTCTGCTGGACAACCCGCTTCCTTAATTGGGATCTTGATCTGTTTCAGACGGTGAATTTGACAATGGAAGCAGACTGTAGCGAGCCGCACATCTTTCGGATAAACGCATTTCAGTCGACTGGGACTGCGCCGTAGGTTGCAATGCTGGTCGGTTTACTCGTCGTAATTCAATCACATAGTGGGCTGTCCAATTCAATGTAGTAAGCTACAGAGTATGCATCAAGCTGTTTATACACCACGAAACCGAAACGGTCTAGGATGATGGTAAATAGCCGATTGCAGCGGATTGGGGATCTGTTTACACCGAGATCCGACAAGAAACGTTCGCCAGATACACCTTGCCGTCAGGACAGTTGAAAATACACGTTGTTTCACCAGCTTTTGTTTTACAGCTCACACACAAAGTGCTGACCTGTTATGCTCAGTGGCACACTCTCGTACACACAATTTAGATATGTGCCCCTTCTCTCGGTGTTCACGTGAAGTTGCGTTCGTCCGGTCATCGTCAGGACAAGGTGAGACGCATCTCGTATCTGCGATAAAGATCAAGCGGAGCACGTCGTACATGTAGCATACTCCATGAATCGTGACCAACTATACCTTCTCTGTCAATTGCATCCACAGATCTTTCAAATTCCCCCTTAAGGAAATCATGTTGCTCCATAGATCTCTCAACATGGTCGTTACCGCTATCAAATTTCATTCAACGGGCGCGAACACCCCTAAATACTACCGTTTATTGAGGTTATCAGTCCCAAATCCACCAACAGTATCGCATTCTATGTAACCCCCTGTTATGCTATCGGGTGACTTGGTGTTGGTCACTTGACGATCAGTACGCAATTTTTAGCAGCGTTTGTGCCCGTCGGATGCAATGTGATAGTATTAAGGACAAGCTTGTGAGACTTATGGAGGAACATCGCTTTGACGAGGGGTTTTTTGATAGTGTTATGCATGCAATTAACTGGGAGAAGGTATAGATGACAACGCCACGCTGCAAATACGCAACACTCCATGCCCGTAGTCTTAAGTATCGCAAGCCTGCCTTGTACTCCGAGGACGTGGGTTCGTGCCTGCGTAGGTTACCGGGTGACCTTCGCAATATCCTTATCCCACGTGGTGGTGGTTGCGCGGCGGCGAAGCGTCGGTACAGTATAACGGCGTACTACTGATGCCATTTTCCTATTTTTCATGCTATTGCATTACCCTAGTGACGCTGTTGTGACGGAATGTTCGCACCCCAACGAATGTGGCCGTCGACACTCCAGTCCACTGTACCCCTTCACAACTATCGCTGCGTTAAAAAGGAGAAAGTGTGCGGTGGTAGGAGGCACTTTTGAGGTTTTATGTTTATGTGCCGATGTTCCGACCGACTTGAATTGGGGTGGCAGTACACGATACACACGCACATCCGCGAATTATGCATCGGAATCAAAGTCCTCTATTCGGCTTGATTGGGTTGGTGCGGATGAGCAAATATTAGCCTATCCGTCGTACCCTGTCAACGAACCCGAAACTCACCACCCAAGCCCGCACAACTGCAGCTAGCATCTTTTCTGCTTTCCTTATGGTTGTGATCACATTACGAAAAGGGTGCAGGGGGCAAAGCTCTTTTGAGTTACTTTGATCAATTCATAACATGATGCCGGCTTAGAAAATACTATCATCAATAGGAAGAGGATGCGAACAAAATCCTGTCGACTACTTTACTTTGAAATCCTTATGTCTGACTACTGCATGGACAGACTGGACGAAGTTGTGCAGTCGAACATGTGGCGAGCAGTCCCAAATCTAGCTAATCTGATGTTCGTGTTTGGGAGTTAGTCTTAGGGTTTTCTTCTTCTTCAAATACTGCCTTTTACATATATCTTACTCCGGTCCTGTCTCTGTTGCCTCAGCTGTCCTCGTGGCGCCTCGCATACTGCAGAACCCATTTTCTGTAGATCAAGCTAATTAAGCGGTATTTTGTGGTACAGCCCAACCGGCTATGGCAGCCATCTCTATGGCGACCAGCCAAAAACATCTCCAACGTTTGCTCATATGAGTTATGTCCCTATGCATAAACATGTGCATGACGATCAGCTGTCCAAGGCGACCACATTTTGTCGGTCCCTACAGTGGTCACCTTAGACAGGTTTGACTGTTTCAGAAGACGAAGCCATGGGCTCCCATCGTTTCCGGTGTTACACGAACCCGATGGCATTGTCGCGCACACTGATTACGACAATGCCTGTTTGCCTGATGAGCAGTATGTGAGAAGGTTTGTTCCCACGTCTCCTTTGCCAGCTGTTGATTCAGAGGAGAGAGTTACAGCAGACTCGTTTCTGAGCGCTATCTCCGTGTCAGAGATCCAGGTACTTTCACTGCTCCGTGGGTTAAATCCTAGCAACCATTCTGGCGTCCATTTCATTCGTCCTAATTTGTTATATGAGTTGGCAAATGAACCCCTAATGCAGTTGTTTGAGAAGTCTTTTGCAATCTGCGTTCTACTTACTGGTTGGAAGGAGGCTGTCATAAACCCTATTTTTAAGAAGGGTGATAAGCACACTGTCCTGTAAATGATAGGCCCATGAATTTAACAAGCAGGCCAGTTAAACTACTTCCTGACCTGGTGACAGAGCCTCGCAAACCACTTCAGGACGTTTGGTCGTCACAGCCTGCTCCGACACTGTTTTCGCAAGGTTTATTCGCGTCTGACCAACTTGCAGGGTCTTCTTGGGCGGCGGCAGAGGCTGTCGACCAGGTTCAATCATTGGAACCGACCATGCACTTGTATGTGTTGTCCTGCGGATGCGTTTTGGCGGACGCCCACGATAACGTTGTGAGCGCATTGACACTAGCCAACTGGCGAAACCAGCTGTTCTTAATGCCTATCAAAGTATTCTGTCATGCGAGTTGAGAAAACGCTCACTAGATCCAATTGAAGCTCAATGGTCTCATATTCACCAGACTTTACTAGCAGCAGGAAAATACTCATGTGGTAAGTTTTATCGCCAACACGGTCATTGGGTCTCTTCGCAGTCTCTGGAACTTATCGACGCTCGCCGCATATTCCGGCTGGAAGTGAACACAATGAAACTGGCAAAGAGCTCCGGGCAAAACTCCGTGCTATCCTCAACAGAGACCGCGAACCTTGGCGGTCTCATCGCGCGTCAGAGATGGAAGTGGCCGCTGCCCTTGGCAACCATTGTAAGTTATTCCGTCTGATACGGGAAACGGGAAGCAGGAGACCTTGTGTTAGTGAAACTATACATGACGAGAGTGGATAGCCTATCCAAAACTTGAGAAAACGCTTGGAGCGTTGGGCTTAGCACTTTGAAAGGCAATTTAATCGGTCGGAATTGTTAGGTTACTCGCCGGCCACTGATCGCCCCGTTTCGTGGGCTGTCGCTTTGGATCCATCCTCTCGCTCAAAAATCGAACGTGAGATTGGACTGTTGAAGTTAAGTACAGTCGCGGGATCAGATGATCTCCTCTAGTCCCTTCAAATTCGGAGGACCTGCTCTTGTGGATGATTTAAACAAGTTGCTAGTGAAACTGT